TCCTCCCTCCCTCCCTCCTTTCCTTCCTTCCTTCCTTCCTTCCTTTCTCTCTCTCTCTCTCTCTTTCTCTCTCACCCCCCTCCCTTCCTCCCTCCCACCCTCTCTCTCTTTCTTTTCTTTGCTTCCTTCCTTCCTTCTTTCCTTCCACCCAGTTACAAGTGAGAACACGTGGTATTTCTCTTTCCTACTTTGGCTTATTTCACTTAATGTAATTTTCTCCAGACTCATCCATGTTGCTGCAAATGGCAGAATTTCATTCCTTTTTATGGCTGAGTAGTATTCCATTTTGTATATATACCACATTTTCTGTATCCAGTCATCTGTTGATGGACACTTAGGTTGGTTCCATATTTTGGCTATTGTAAATAGAGCTGCAGTGAACATTGGGGTGCAGATCGTGATGATCTTCGACATGATGATCTCCATATATCCATTGGATATATACCCAGTAGTGGGATTGCTGGATCATATGGTAGCACTATCTGTAGTTGTTTGAGAAGCCTCCATACTGTTTTCCATAATGGCTGTGGTAATTTATAGTCCCACCAACAGTGTAGAAGAGTTCCCCTTTCTCTGCATCTTATCTAGCATTTGTTATTCTCAGTCTTTTAAACAATGGACATTCTAACTGGGGTGAGAGGATATCTCAATGTGGTTTTGATTTGCATTTCTCTGATGACTAGTGATACTGAGCATTTTTTCATGTACCTGTTGGCCATTTGTATATCTTCCTTTGAAAAGTGTCTATTCATCTCCTTTGCCCATTTTTTAAAATGGGTTATTTGTTTTTTTACTGTATAGTTGTTTGAGTTCTTTGTATATTCTGGATATTAATCCCTTGTCAGATGTATAGTGTGCAAATATTTTCTCCCATTCCGTAAGTTGTTTCCTACTCTGTTGATTGTTTCCTTTGCTGTGAAGAAGCTTTTTAGTTTGATATAATCCCATTTATTTATTTTTCTTTTGTTGCTTGAGCTTTTGGGGTCTTATTCATAAAGTATTTGCCCAGTCCTATTACCTGGACTGTTTCCCCTATATTTTCCTTTAGTAATTTTATGAGAACCTGAATCTTGGAGACAACTTGATATTACCTCTGGTGGTGGGACATCCATCCAAAGTGCATTCTAGGCCGATTTCTTTGGAAAACTCTTTATGGGGATTTTTATGTCTTAGTTTATGAGAGACATTGGTTTGAAGTTTTCTTTTTCTTTTTGTATTCTCTTTGGCTTTGGCACCAGGTTAATACTAGCTTCACAAAATGGATTGGAAATTGGGAAGTGTTTCTTCTTTTTCTATTTTCTGAAAGAAACTGTAGATTTCCCATTAATTCTTCTTTAAACATTTGGTAGAATTTTCCAGTGAAAATATCTGAGCCTAAAGATTTGGTTTTTAAGAGTTTTTAAAAATTCAAAACTCAATTTCTTAATAGTTATAGGGCTACTCAAATAATCTGTTTGGTATTGGGTGATTTATAGTAGCTTGTGTTTTTCAAGGAAGTAGTCTATTTCATCTAAGTTGTCAAATTTGTGTGTATATGTTGTTCATAGTATTCCCTTTTGATGCCTACAAGGTCAGTATCCTCATCCCCTAATTAATTCCAGATACTAATTATTTGTGGTTTCTCTCTTTTTTCTTAGTAATCTTGATAGAGTTTTGCCAATTTTCTTGAGTTTTTTTAAAGAAACAGATTTTAGTTTCATTAGTCTTCCCTATTTCCCTGTTTTTACTTTCATTGATTTGTGTTTTAAAATTCAAAAAGAATAGGTTTTCAGTAATTTCAAAACAAATAGCTGATAAGTTTCTATTCTTTTTTTTTTTTTTTTTTTTTTT